GTTAAGTAAATGCTCCTTAGCAAATGGGAATGACCATCTCCAAGTTAAATATTTGATGGTTGTGAACTAAACATTTTGCCTAGTTTTCATTTTAGAGTGAATATTTATAAGACATTTATAAGGAAGATAATACATCTAAATTTTTTTTTCTGGCTCTGTGAGCCTAGGTAAGATGGTTAGCCTCTCTGAGCATCAGTTTTCCCGAATGCAAAGTGAAGCCATAGCTTACAAGTTCTCTAAAGTCCTCTCTGCTTCCAGAATCCTTTGCTATTTTATAGTTGCTTGCTCAACCAAATAAGGCATCTATCTGATAACTGGCATATTCTACTCAACATAGCCTAAAGTTAGTGTCTTGCTTTTGTCTTTTTATGAAGAATTGCAGTTATATCATTGGACCCATGCACAACCCACACATTCTCTAAAGAGAAGTGAAACTGTTTTTTTCCTGACAATTTCCTGGCTCAGTTTGCTTTCTTGTCTAACACCTCCAGATTTACTATCTTCTTATTGATCTATCATGTAAGCAAATGATGATATTTTCAAATAGTTTTAGTTCCCTGTTTGCTGAAAACATACCCAATAGTATCTCTACCCCATGTATATTTTAAACTGCATTGCGTAGCTAAAATGAATATACATTTTGGTGGCTGAGGAACAAAGTACATAACTTTATCATCAGCTTGACAGCCTCTACAGTTTCATCTGCTGAAACATCAAATGGTTCAAAAGATCCTTCAAAGGATATGAAAATCCTCATTGTGCAATTACGTTTTCAACAAAACAAAACAAAACAAAACAAGACAAAAACTTGTTTCTAAGATCCTACTGGATAGCTGGAAAAATTTCAATTCACAATTAATGGCAAGTATGATAGCCAGAGGCAGTTGTTACTGTCTAGCCTCAAACGTAAGCTGAGGAAATGTGAAGAGCCTGGTCCCACCGTATTACTGTATCAGGCAACACAGATGCAGCTGCCTTGGAGGAAATGTTTCTCTGCTGAAGGCAGTAGTCAACAATTGCCTTGTTCTTATATTATGGAAACCAGCAAACTTGACAATGGTTGAGGCAAGTGTGAACAAGCTCAAACATGTAATACAAAGATGCTAGATATAAATTACACACTTTTGTGATGTGACCACCATCCACTGACTCTTGAATTCAAATTTACTCAAGTGTAGCTGATTGAAGAACCCTTAAAGATAGCTCTTTGGGATGCACTAGCATAGGGTGAAGCAAAATAAGAGTTGATTTTATTGAATGTAATAATCCTGAAAGTTCTCTGTAAATAACTCCAAGCTGAAGCATTCTGGTTTCCATAACAACTTTGTGTACTTGTTCCCTGGCAATATTTCTAATCCTGCCACGGGGTACAGAACAATACCCACTTGCACCAGGGAGATGAATGTGTAGGCAAATGACTCTGTGGCTTTCTCTTCCCATCTCTGCATAATAGAATCTGCTAAAGAGCAACACAATATAGTTGGCATTTCTTTTAGTCCTTGCCTTTATGTTATTTAGAACAATTTACTATTGTTATCTCCTTCAGTCCCCCTTAGTGTTGGTGGGAAATATTTCAAACCCCACTCAATAAGTGAATGAATAAGCTGGGAATGATGGCATGTGCCTGTAGTCCCAACCACTTGGGAGGCTGAGGCAGTAGGATCATTTGAGGCTAGGAGTTCAGGGCTGCAGTGTGCCATGATCATGCCTACAAATAGTCATTGCACTCCAGCCTGGGCAACAGAGCAAGACTTCGTCTCTAAAAACATAGGATATTAAAAAAAAGTGAGTGACGATATTAAGCACCATTACTCAAGTTTATAGAGTAAGCATTTTATTGGAACTTTATTCTGAGACTCTTCTCTGAAATCCTCAGTATGATACACTTGGTTTAATGCTATTTTGTCTGATCATTTATTCATATGCGTAAATCTTGTCTTCTTCCTGAAATGCCTCCTGAGTAGGGCAGAATCCTCATCTTGCATATCTTTTTTTTTTCTCTTTTGAGACAGAGTCTGGCTCTGTTGCCTTGGCTAGAGTGCCGTGGCATCAGCCTAGCTCACAGCAACCTC